TTTTAGTTAACGATAATACCGTATTTCTTTATGGAATTCAAATAAACGGTTTGCTTTAAGAGCCAATGCTGCGCAGACAGGATGGAGATGGCCAGTTACCTGGTGCCAGTTCTGGGTGGAATGGTTGATCTTCTTAACTGAACCTGGCTGGAGGACATTAATGAGCCTGTAGAGACACACGGCGAGAATTCAATCAATTCTCGGTTAGCAAGTGGATATATGATAGCTACTGACAGCTTTCTGAGCTTTGACAACCAGCGGAGATCCACTCACTCGCACAACAGGATTCCATCCTTCAGACTCTCCATGAAGCCGTCCCCGATTCTTTTCCCAGTCACATCCTCAATCCACAGCCTCAGCTCCTCTTCTTTCTGTGGGTCATACTTGCCAGCCAGCTGAGAAGCACAAAAAAAATACATATAGTAGACACATTATTAGTTTTAGCATTTAGAATGATATGGCCCTTACCATCCTGAGACAGGTTTTGCTATCAAATCAAATTCCTTAAACTTGAAAATGACAGTGTTAAATGTAAAGAGACTGAAATTTTTCCCTCTTTCAATATAAAGTCTGGGAAACGGAAACATTATTTACTTTCCGCTATCGAAATTGTCTTTCAAGAAAGTCACGTAACTTAAATAACAGCAGGCAGCTAACAGCTGAACTAACTCATACATTCTAAATATGAAAGTTAGCTGCCTGAGGATATGGATTTTTTTGGAGCCGACTCATGCACATTGATCTATTCAGTCCTTTGTAAAAACAGTGTGCCTGGCTTTTAAGTGCATATACAATTTAGGGAGATTTTCTTAATGCTACCATGGCAAAGTGGGCATGCCTGTTCCAAAGGTTTCTCTCTGTTTTGTGCTCTTTGATAACCGTATCAAATGCTCTGCCTTTAAACCTGTACTGTGCAATATTACTAAGATTATGATTTTTTCTTTTAGTGACTGAGTTATCAGATTAGTTATTTGAAAGCACGCCTGCCAATCTCTAGCTTTCTTGATCACATCTGTTGAAATGAAGCATACATCTCTGAAAGCAGGGGCAAATGTATGGCATTTTTTGCTCGATCTGCTAGAAATAAAAACAATTTCTCTAAAAATTTCACAACTATACATCTCTTAGGGAATCTGAACATGCAGCAAATGTTTGAGTTTTCAAACATTTTCAGAGTCAAATCGTGCAGGGGTTCCCAGGAACCTACTAACCCACATATTGTCTTTGGGAATATCGATTACAAAAAGTCTGGCAATGCGTTTGAAACC